CACCGGTGCTGAAATCAACTCTCTCGCCCTGTCGCAATGGAGCCTGTACAGAGGAAGTCCTAGGCCCCGTAACTTGGCGTAGATCTTCGCCAGGGCGGGCAAGATGTGGGTCGCCGCACGGCCTGGGAGCACCTCAACGAAGGTCAAATTTCGCACCATGACATCCTGGGCCTCCTCGATGGTTTTTTGCCATGCCTCAAAAGCTTCATGCCCCTTTTTGACAGCCCCACCATCTTTTTCTCCATCATCCTCCCCCGGAATCTCATGCGGTTCTTCACCCAGCATATCATCTCCAGGATCATCACCGCCTGGTTCGGTAGGAGTGTACTCTTCAGCATCAATGGATGGAGGCTCCACTGCCGCTGACCCCGGTTGTGCGAGGTCTCCACATTCAACCTCCGCCAAAGCTCGGCCAGATCCATCCACCGGAAAGGTGTAGACCGCCACCATCATGTACTTGCAATCCTGTCGATGTTGATCTTGGCCGATCACCATCTTGCCAGAAAGATCCACACTCAAAGTGTATGCTTCTGGGTGTGAAATCCTTTTGTGTGGCTTGCTGCGAGCAGCGGATCTGACGCAATGTTTGCAATCGCGTCTAGCTGGCATGTGGTCATTGAGGTAGTGCTGGCGCCAGCCATCCAAAGCCACTTGGCCTAACGGACGAAGGGCAGCTTCCAAAGACGGCGTTGAGCCACGATGGAGATGGTCTTGCAAGGCCAACACTAAAGCAACTTTCAAGCCCGGGGCCCATGCGGCCCATTGTTTGGACTCAGCGCAACGCTCCTGCATGGTCATTTGGTTGCGATCAGGAGCTGGATCTTCTGGTTGGACACCACTTGGCGGACCGCGAACTTCATTCAACACTTGAAGGTCTCGCATGACAAAGGCCAGCGAAGTGGGCTTTTTCTTGATGTGGCCCATTGGACCTTGATCGAAATTGATCAACTTGACTTGGTAGGTCGTGGCGAAATCTTGCCACTCCTTGGTGCGCCATATGGACATGAATTGCTTCCGCCGTACCTCTTCTTCCGGGCGGTACCTGGCGGGGTCTTCAGGCTGCTCGATGGCCAAGGCTGTCTGAGGCTCCTGAGGAAGGCGAACATCTTCACAAAGGACGTACAAGGCCAACATTCGAAAAAGCAGCACACTGTCTCCATTCACCAGCTCCGCATCCGAAGGAGACAAAGTCGGCAGGCCATACGGATGTTGTTCCGTCCGCAGGATGCCAGGACCGCCATCGTCTTGGTATCGGAGTGCCGACGCCGTCCGGCAAGGTGGCCCACCCACCAGGGCCTTCACTCGGCCTGAGGCCGCCAACGACAGCAGGAACCGGAAAACATGATCATCATGAAGATCTGCTGCAATGGGGGCTTGCAAATCAATGCACAAGACTTCAACACCATCCCGCTGCAAGGTCTTCTGCCAGTAGTCCGTGTCAGGGCCCGAAAACAAATGCAGGACAATCTGCTTTGCCTTGTCCAGCCTACGGCGTTTCCGCCGATTCCATGGAAGAAGGTGCCCATCAAATCCCTGATGTAGTGACGTCAGGTCAGGGATGATCCTCATCAGGATCTCATCAGGCAGAGCTGGAAACAGGGCCTTCAATTTCACCGTCAGGGCCAACTCCGTCGAGTCTTGAAGAGAGGCCAAATCACTGCTCTGTGGACCTTCCAGCAGCGCTTTCACCAGCAACGCCTTCTTGATGACATGATTCTGGCGCTGCTCCAACTGATCAATCATCTCTTGGCCCACCGCCCGAGTGACCATTGGACACCCATGCTGAACCACCACTGTGAGTTCTTGGCCCCTTTCATCACGGAGACCACATAGGCTTCCTTTCCATTCAAACTTGTACCCCAGCTCGGCGATGCCACCCAAAGGCACAATCCAGGACTTGCCCATCGCCTCGTCCTGAGGGTCCGAGAGCAGGACCTTTGATGAAGGCTTCAACCGAAGCTTGGATGTGATGCCATCAGCTAAAGTGACCTGAGTGGGTGCTGCCGCTTGCCATTCCTGCCAGGTCCTCGCTGGTCGTAGGGCATGTGTGGCACCGGAGTCCAAAAGCACCAGGTCACCTGCTTCGTGCTCGAGCTGGCTGATCTTGATAACGCGCAGTTGTGGGACACGGAGGGACTTCAGCAATTTGGTCGCTTCCTGCAACAAAGCCTCACTTGTTGTGGAGGTTGCCCCAGTCTCACCCCCTTTTGATGCCCCTTCATTGGACTGCGAATCTTGTACTTGTCCTCCTCCATCAGAGCACACCTCCATCTCCTGCACCTTGATAGGAGCTTGGTTGGCTGCAATGACGTTGGACGAGGATGATGATTTTGAAGCCCCTTTTCCTCCCCCCTGAGCCCGAACCGGGCTCACCACTGTTCTTGCCATCCTTGGTGTCTTTGGCAGGGGAAGGTTTTCCTTGTGACTTCAATCGGCGTTCTGTTTTGCGGTGTTCTTTGCTGCCGCAAATCCAACATCGGGCATTTTTGTCCTCAACGCCCTCCCAGCTGTGTGACCATTTGCAATTCTTTCCAGCCTTGCAGCCAGCATCCGACCGAAAATACCGGCATGGTGTGGAGGTTGTAGAGACCCCTGCATTGCCACCCTTACCCTTCTCCCCTGTGCCAGCACCCGAAGTTTGTTGCTTCTGTGAGGCTTCCAACTGTTTAACTTTGATGGGCGAAGGTGTGGTAGGTGGAGCATTGATCATCAACGACAATGTTTCAGCTTCAGCCAACAAACACTGACTAAACCTCCAGATGCTTTGGTGGATAGGCTGCTGATCAATGGCCAACTGCAAACGACTCTGAGCCAGTCGAAATGACGCTTGGGCGTCAAGCGAAGCCACCAAACTGCAAGCAGGCTCTAAGGCCTTCAACAACAATGTACCGTCCGGCAGCACCGCCTCAATCTCTTGAGCCCTGGCAAAATGACGACGCCAAGAGCGGAGAGATGCAGCCAAATCAGTGGCTCCTGTCGCCTTGTCCAGCGTTGTCAACTTGGCCAAAAGAATCGCCTTCTCTCCAGAGCCACCCGGTTGGTAGCGGACCATGAGGCGAAACAAAAGGGCTGTTGAATTCAGCTCTCTGGCCGTGATCAAGGCCTGTTGCTGGTCAGCAGGGATGGCACGCAACAGCAAGTTCACTCCTCGCTGCTCTGTTCGCTGGTAGCAGCTGTCATACAACTCGTCGGGAAGGCGAGGTGCAATCTGAACTCTTTCCAGCGGAGACGAAGTCTTCCAGCGATCATAAAAACACTGAGCTTCACGCAGGGTCAAATTCCACCATCGAGCACTGACCGACGAAAGGTCCCGAAGCACGGGTCCATTGACTGCAAGCCAGTCACCGAGCTCCAAAGGCGATGCATCAGCTGCCAACTCTGCGAGCTCTGCCTTGCTATTGCCACCGCCTTCGCCCCATGGCAAAGGCATTGGTGAAGTGCCACCATCACCCGGCCATCGAAGCTCCGGACTGGGTTTTCGATTCCCATAGTGACTATCCCCAACTTCACCAGGGGAAAAACGATCAAAAGCACGATCCACCCCAGGCCGACGGTCGGAACCCCAACCATAACCCTGGCACTCCGAGCCACGATGAAAGCCAGCTTCATGAGACGAAGTGGGAGGCACATCTTTCGAGCAAGCTGCTGACTGCGCCCAGCTGGCCCCTTCTCGCATGCGCTCCAAATGCTCAGCCCGAGGTTCTGGAGGAGCGAAAGGCACAAATGACTTGCCTTCACGCAAATGCAGCGGCGCCCACTGAGAGTCCTGTCGCCGCTTCACTTCCAGCGACTCATAGTCCTGGAACATAAATCCAGCCGAGGCACTCTGAATTTCTGCCGAGACACTGGTTGGGAACGGCGGTACAGGTGGTGCCATCACTTCAGGCGGTGGAGGTCCACACGGAATTTGCGTTCCATTGGGGGTGTACCGAACATGGTGTCCAGAAGGAGGCCTTCGTGTAGTAGGACTTCTCCCCCGTGGAGTGCTAAGCGAAACTTCCCCACCATGAACCCTATTGGAAACACCACCAGTCAAACGATCATCATGACCAGAGGGGCCCACACCACCATGAACATGTTCATGAGCACCGTCACCACGAAGCCCATCACCTGTCCCCCCATCAACCGTTTCCCACGACGAGGGAGTGGACATAGTACCCATGGGTTGCTGCTGTTGGAGGCTTCTAAGGCGCTCTACTTCAGCTTGAAGATGACTATTTTGCTCCCTCAAAAATAGCACCATTTCTGCTTCAAAAGCTCGTTGAAGACTTTCAGGGTCTTTCCGAGCCACCTCACTAGTTCCAGTGAGCTTGACCGCAGGGGGCGATTCCTCAGGCGGCACCGGCCCCATGGAGCGATCTGGCCGACGATCAACCTTCTGTCCTGGCTGACCCTCCTCCGGCATTCGACCTTCAGTTTGGCGAGCTCCCCCACCACCGCGACCTTCCGATCTGTGGCCATGGCTATGGCTTGGAGGCGTGACGAAACCACGTCCCGACTGGCGCTCGGCTGCTGAACCGCGGCCTTTGCCAATCCGACCACCCGTGCCTTCAAGCGGCACTGCCTCCGGACCTTCCACCGGCCCTTCCAGATCCTCGTCGCCATCGCAGGGCACCGCCGGCAACGTCTCCGGTCGTCGGCTGCGGAGTGCAACCTCGTTGCGAATCCTCTCAGACCACCAGGGATTTATGAGGTCGAACCCTGGCGGTGAGGATCGCGCCCTCTCCATGGCCCGAGAAAGGCGCCTAAAAAGAGCTTGGGCTCATAACCCTTGAAAGGATCACAAGCGGGCCTTTTTTCCTTCTCTTGAGATCAAAAGCCTTCAGGTGTTCACACCTCTATTCACAGACCGGGAAAGAACTGTCTCGGGCGGAGGAAGGGTTCAGTTCGATGAGGTACTTAGATGAGTTTCCAGATATTAGCAATGAACGGTTGCGAAGAGCATGAATGATCGGTCAATAACTGTGAAATTCGCTCGAGTTTACTTTGCTATGACACAGGAATCTGCCAGTCCTCGAGATGACTGTCCGTCCATTGGGTCTGCGTCGACATGCTGCCATGTATTTTGAAAAGAAGAGCAGCGCAGATCTCTTGTCAGAGGATCATTCAGAACTTCTGTGAAGCCTCAAAGAAGACATTGCTAGCAGGTTGGAGGCCGTCGCTACTACTCTGCACAGTGCATTCGCCAGGCACTCTTTGGGCCTTTGCAAGCCGTGCGACTTCAAGTGTCGGTCATCCTGCAGATTTGGCTACGAGAGCCTTACTTCGAAAAAAGAGTTCAACGGTGCAAACCCGTGCGAAACATGCAAACAATTTTGCTAGCCATTGATGGATTTTCGCGGGCAGCAAATTGCAGTGAATCCTGAGGTGTATGTTTTGTCACATTTGTGGCCCAGCAGAAAGTCGGAAATGGAAAAAAACACAGGAAGAACTACTGGAACCAGGTGAGCTGGCGGCGATCCGTTTTTACATGGTGTTTCACATGCTTTGTAGCTTTGCAGAGTTCAGCATAACGCTTGAGATGAAGTCGGTGTTCTGCTGGACAAGCCGATTGGACCACAATCTCCTTGTCATGAATCATTGCATTTCTTGCTCCCTTCAAATAGGTCGGAGACCATTGCTAGTAGGTTGGAGGCCATCTCTTCTAGGTTGGAGGCTATCGCTATTATTTGGCCAAGAGCATCGCGACACATGTTCTCTTGACATTGGGCTCAGGCCACAAAGGAAAAAAAACGCAAAATTGATTAACGTCGTATTTGGCGCATCTACAGGCCAAGGCGATCTTCCGCAAGATGCAGCCGCCAGAGAGGACTTGCTCATGCAGAATTACACAATGAATAGAAACCACATCAACGGCCCTTTCAACATCCCTATTGAACTTTGGAAGTCTTGCGATGTCTTACGCAGAAGTACCGGCAAACCATCGATGGTGAACGTCCTCTATTTCCAAGGCCGTCCGGTTTGCGTCGGTGTTTCTGGCGTTGTCAGGACACCTGTGGCAAGCAATGCCATGGTGAGCCACCAGCATATCTTGGGGGATCCGCTGCGTTTGACGTTCAGAGTGAATTCTCACAACTGATTATCAGACTGGTAGTAGCAGTAGGAGTAGTAGTAACAATAATAAGAATTGTTATCATTATTAGTAGTAGTAATTAACATTATTGTTGTTATTAGTAGTTGTTGTTGCTGCTGTTGCGCAACATGTGAGTCACTGATGTTTCTGAGCTCTTTGCTTTCCGTGTCTTTACCAGCAACAAGGGCATCGCTACTAGTAACAAGGGCATTACTAGTACTAGTAGCTAGAAGATACTAGTAGCAGGGGCATCGCTATTAGCTAGAAGCTACTAGTAGCTCCTGGCCTTACTACTACTCCTACTACTACTACTACTCCTACTACTACTACTACTACTACTACTACTACTACTACTACTACTACTACTAACAAGAAGCTACTAGTAGCTCCTGGCATCGCTACTAGTAGGTTGGAAGCTACTAGTCTACTAGTCTTTTGCTTTCGTCACAGGTCACTTTAGACCTCCATTCGGCGCTCTCCTTGGACTTCTGACTCCACGGGCCCCCTCATGCGTAGGGCCATATCCAAAGCGTGGGGCCCGTGGAGAGGTGCAATCGAATTCGCAAGCGCCCCGGAGGGGTGTACCTGGGGAAAAACCCAAGTTTCATAGAATTTTATAGGTTTTATGTGGCGCTTTCTTGGAAGCAAAGTGGCACAATGCGACTCACACTGCGTTCCTGCTTCCTTCATGTTTCATTTCCGTATTCCCAAAACACCTCCATTCACTGCATATCGCTTTTGTTATTGAGGCTGTTGAGGCTGTTGGAGGCTGCCATGCGACTGGGCGTGCAGTGTACAGCTCCCTGTATCTCACATTTATGCCCTGTCGCTACACCTGGCGCACACTACGTGCTTCTTCTTGACTGGGCAGGCCGTGCACAGCACTGTCGGCCCGTGCGCCTGCACGTGAAATTTGTATTTCCAGTGCCTTAAAAGATGCTGAGATACAGTACAGATGCTCAGAGAGCTCTCCTGTCATTTGAAGAACGGCCCAGAAGAATCCGGGAGATCCATAAACAGTGAATCAGGTCCAGATGTGTTTTTTCCACAAAACTCAATGTTGTTTTGACGCCCAAGCACACGTGTAAAATCCAACTCTGACTGCGAAGTCTTGACTTTTTAAATTCTGGGCCATGGCCAGTTGTTGACCTCACGGAAGAAAGCAGAAAAACTGCGCCTCACACCGAACAACACAGACACGGCATATGTCACAAGGCTCAGGCCGATGTGTTTTTCCTGAAAAGCACTGAGCTGTGTGACCTTGGGAGTGGAATCACAGCCTGAAGTGCTAGGCCATACACGTGACAGAGGTGTTGCCTGAGAGGGCACGCATGTTGGTCTGCCCCTGAGGACAAACGAGAGGAAGAAAGGAACTTAAGCGTGTAGAATCCTCCTTCGAAGGAAGCCTTACCTTCCTTTTGTCATCCCTTATTTCTTCTGTTTTCATGTTTTAAGCCTGACACCTTTTTGATGTCTAGTTTCCGTGAAGAAGGTCCACCTTGCAATGCTCGTTTGAATACCAGTCCTGGTCCATGACAGTATCAGCACCTTGAATTGAGCTCAGTTGTTTATGAATTGAATGTAGAGGGTGGCTGGAAAGCTAGATAAGCAACCAACAGGGCCAAGATCGAAACATCAAAGACCACCACCGTTCACCATCGATTGCATCAAAAGCAAGCACCACAGCTTAAGCCACTAGGTTCGAGGCCATTGCTAGCACCACAGCTTAAGCCGCAAAGTGCTGCAAAGCACCACAGACCACCTGAAGTCACCGAGCACCAGAAGTCGAGGACAGATCGGCATAAACCACATAGATCGCCACCCAAAACTGCAAAGCACCATGGACCACATGTTACAGAGTTCTGCTGGTTAAGCACGGCTTGTTAATCATTTGATGGACAGCAACACACTTGCAGCTTTACTACGCACAGGCCTCAAAAATAGAAAAACAATCCCAGTAACAATGTTCGCTAGTAGTAACAAGTGCCACGCTAGTAGTAACAGGTGCCTTACTAGTAGTAACAAAAAGCGACTAGTAACAAGTGCCTTACTACTAGGAACAAGAAGCTAGTATTAGCTTATTGTTTCTAACCTCCTTAAGTCGAACGTTTCCCCCGTTCTGCTTTCGGGCGAACTTTCACATGGCAGCCCTAAAACACGAGCACTTTCACAATGCAAGCTCCTTTTCTCCACTAGTGTCTTAGATCTTCCATCGGTTTATACGGCTCACGGCCAACTGAAATCAAAGCCACTTCGCAAAAGGTTCCAAGCAACGAAAAGTACCCCGCAGCCAAAGCTGACCCTCAACTCAACAATTGCGCAACGATGGATTCACGACGCAATTGCTTTTTGGCAAAGCCCTAAATAAACCAAATAGCAACAAACTTAATAGCAATGGCCTCCAACCTAAGAGCGATGGCCTCCAACCTTGTTGCTTTTGCCAACGCCCCTGACAAAAGACACGTGGAATTTGGCAACGTCGCCACCCTCGTATCACAGCCATTGGCAAAGCAGTCATGAGGCTGTGGATGCTAAGCTGCCTGTCCAGAATGTTGTGACCACTGTGCTGAGTTGAGAGCTCAGAGGGGATGTTCACATGTAGCCTTGATGGTGAAGTTTCTGGAGCTTGAAATCAACAAAGAGACTTAAAGCCCTATGAGTTGAGAGTCAACCTTTCCGTTGGAGACATGAAACCATACCACTTGGGCGCTTGGAAGTTCCGTTACAGCAGCCTTCTCTGGCTGAACGGTCCTATGAGTGAGGCCTAATATTGAGCGCAAATGTTTTTACCCTTTCTGTCTGACACTTGCATGAGGTGAGCAGCACTTCCAAAAGGCCCCAGGCAAGTTTGAAAGGAAGAAAGGGAGAAAGGGGTGGGTAAGCTGTGGGGAGCAGGGAGATAGCTTAGAGGTCCTAGCAGCAAGGAGGCCGAAGAGTCCTTCGCAGGGTCGAAACTTCATGTCGCAGGGTGGCAGACAGAGTTTTCTGAATAACTTGTATGAATATCGTGGAAGGATAGCATTTTCTTATGGATCTTCTTTTCTTGTAGGGTGGAGGCCATCGCTCTTAGGGAGGAGGCCATTGCTAGTAGGTTGGAGGCCATCGCTCTTATGATTTTCTTTTGTTTTGCTTCTCCTGAGAGGCCCTTCAGAATCAGGTCACGGCCCGAGACCCAAGCCATAAAACGTCGAGTCGGAGGTGAACAAATTTGTCCAGACAATGGACATGTGGAGGAAGTGAATGGAGCACCGGGAAATTGTTTTTGAGCACCTGCATTTTGCTGAGAGTTTGCAAGGTATGTGTTCATGTCTGTTGCAATTTTCCAAACTGGATACACTGGATACTTGCTTTGTCGTAAGTGTTGTTGCTTATTTCCTTGATTCCAGAGGTCACGGTGGTGAAATGCTGCGGAGGGAGGTGCGTACACTCCACGCTTGCTGTTTTGGTGCGATGGCCTCCACCCATAGCTTCTTGCTACTAGTAGTAATGCCCTTGTTACTACTAGCGATGCACTTGTTCCTA